GGACAACAAAAAAAAAGCTGAATGAAAACGTTATCTTACAAATTAAAAGAGCTATTTTTTGTCTCGAAAAGTTCTTAAAATACGCCTTTTTGCTCTTTTTTCTTCATCTTCAATCTATTCCAGGCCTAAAATATGCCTACCAATTTTGAATTTTATTTTTTCTCAAACTAACAACACAAAATCAAACAGTAGATGTTGTTGTTACCTCCTATATCGCTGGTAACAAAATTTACAGGGTGACAGTGAACTCAGAATACGAAATAGTCATAAAATTTACTGAATGGTGAATTTTAATACCAAAATAAATTTCGTTACCTCGACAGAATAGGCCTGTATATGTTATTGATTTAAAATTATCTGTTGAGGATTTAACATTAACGACCGCATTTCATTCCGGCTAAAAGCGAAATAGAATTTATTTTGATAACTGTTTAAATGATAACAGTTGCAAATATTTTAACCAAATCAATTGAAACTTATCATTTCGATACGATTTTAATAAATTACACCACACTTTTCTTACAGGTCATATGAATGTGAGCGAACCTGCGGAATAACTGTGCAAAAGAGTGTGAACGTTTGCCGGCAATCATCTGTCACATCCACTCTCAGCAAAATGCCTCTGCGCTGCTACCAGTGCCGTTACCGGGCTTTATATGTAAGTATTTGTATGCAAAAAGTGGTCAACATGAGCACGCACACTCGTAAATAATGTACAATTGCCCTAATAAAATGAACATGAACTGGTACGCTAAGATACAGGAACAATTTTAAATATTCGTATAAATGTACATATACATTTTTGTTTACGTACTTCATTTATATATGTATGTAACTTAACTTACGCACTGTTAATGTGATTGTTGTGATGAACATTGCGGTTATGTTTTTTAATTTTGTTTTTACGTTATGTTGTTATGTAGTTGCTGCTCTCGCTATGCGCGCTTGATTAGCGACAATCAGATTTTTATGTACTTTTTTTTTGTAGAGGAATGTGTACAAAGTGTAAGAAAAAATTGCAATATGAGAATATGAGATAAAAGTGTGTACAGTTAAGAGCATGGGCATACATTTAGACATGCATATATACATATGCATGAATACACATACATATACAATAATAAATTCTTAATATTTGTAAATGTGACAACCTTGCTTCATAGACAGCGCCGCTGGCTATTGATATTTCCTTTTTATAGCTAATAAATAAAAAAATTTAGAACGAAATTGCATATACATATATACTCGGGTATTTAAATAAATGAGCGGGAGAAAAATGAGCTGTTTTTATACCTTTCACGACCATTTCAAAGTTATGAAAATTAAATTTGGTATTAAATAATAATTCTGATATCTGCAAAATTTATGGCAGGAAGGTATAGGATTTTGATTTTCAGGAGTTTCCGTGTATAGAATAACATATTTTCGCTCAAAAAAAGTATATAAATTTTTCTATTTATTTAATTATTATTTTCATTTCTAAATAACTCGGTGTGTGTGATATATTATAGTCCATGATTTCGATGATTTTCAGTACCAATCTGCAATTCATAATATCATAGATACTCAACCAACGAAACGATGACATTTCGTTTTGTTAATGGGAAAAGTAAACTTAAAGAATTTGATGTTGTTATCCAAACGAAAAGAAACTGTTAAGCTGAAAAGCACAAACTCAGGCTTAACGTTAATTTTAAAATGTTTGCTTTTTATGATATTAACAGCACACTGAATTTTAACGCTTAACATTATCTGTTAACGATTTAACATTACCTGTTAGTTATGTAACATTAACCAGAGGTTTTCGTTTCGTGCAAAATGTTGATAAAATTTATTTTGAGATATGCTCTAACGTTAATATTTCCAAATGTTTCAACCAAACCGATTGAAATTTTTGATTAACGTGAAAATTATCGTTACGATGAGTGTTGAATATAAATTTTCGTACTTGCAAGTTCTTTTATGGATTTATGAACCAAAAACTCAAATCTAAAATATCGGGCATACGCACACTATAGTGGTCTCCTATCGGTCCAGTTCGGACAAATGAGGGCTGGTTGGCGTACAAACAGACAGACCGACCGGCGGGCAATGGCTAAATCTACTCAACTTGTCACTCAAATCACTACCAACTATCTCGTCCCCTTCTCCTTAAATATTTTGGTCGAAAGTTAATGTACCATTTTCATGAACATGAAACGTATAAATATATAGATAAGCGTATAAACATATGTACGAGTATATACATACAATTATATTATAACTCAACACCAAATGGAAGACAAAGGTGAGCTTTAGTTTTATTTTATAATAGTGTATGTGATCTCTTGCTATTTTTTGCTTTTATTTTTATTTTAACTTTTAGAAATTTGTTGCCGGTTTTAATGACTTCGCGCAGAATTTGGAAGACAAATTGAATGAAAAAATGTGCAAATTGATATTTCCTTTTCTTATGAAGAAGCAGCGAATAATGTAGAAAATAAAACTGAGCAAAAAAAACCTCTAATGTTAGTGATAGAGTGATATAGAGAGGAGAAAAGCAGATTTCCAAAGAATATATTTCAAAAATTTTGATAAGCAAAACATAATTTTTTCTCAGAATTGTTGTATTTTGAGCAGTTTTTATTACCCGCCTCACTGTAGATCGTATAGTTTAACAAATACTGAGCATATCTCATAAGAACTTGTCACAAAATTGGTTAAATGATAGGTGTACGCCAATTAATGCTTAATATGCAGTAACAGTTGTGAGTGAGTGACCGAAATGTGGGGCAAGTGATGTGAAGTTGGTTGGGTGTTGGTTTGTAGAAAAAATAATAATTTTAAAACCAAACAAAAGCGAGAAAAGTAAATTAGTTTGAGTGAAATTGATTTCGCATATATTGACATTTTACAACAAAACAAACTAGTATGTTTAAATATGTACGCCACTATTCTTGTGTCATTTCGTATGCATTTCATGTTAAATTGAACGTTAATTGCTTGATTTCTTTGTTGCCTATAAAATGCGGAATTTCCTAAATATTTTGATGTTATTAATAATGAAAGTGGAAATTTTTTGATTTTGAAGAGACTTTGATTAAAGATTATTTATTTCGTAAAATTTTTTGGAAATATTCAGCTGCATTAATTGGCATACTTTAACATATACAAATTAATACTAGAATAAAGCAATTGTTTAGATGTTCTACCGGAGCATAAAGCCCTAAAACTACCTTTGAAAATGTGATGAAATAAAAAAAAAATAATATAATAGTTAAAAAAAATAGTTTTGGTATTTACTTATAATATTTTCTATTTTTTCTTGGTTTTTTTAGGTTTTATGCAGCAAATATTCAATTTTTAATTATAGTTTTAATTTTGTGCAAAAAGAAATCAAAGTTTAAATTTTTTAATAAAATGGTTGCATAATATGTATACTAAAATTTAAATTGGAAATTTAAGATTACTATAAATAGTAGTAAAAATAGTACTAAAATAGTAGTAGAAATAGTAGTAGAAATAGTTGTAGAAATGTATTCAAAAACAAACAAAAAATTGAACTGCAAATGAAAAACTTCCGCATCTCATCACTCATTAATTTCAAATTAAAATTATCAGACATAATTTTTATCTTCTTTAATTATTTTTAAATAGATATTCCGAAGAAAAAATATGTCATATTTTTTTTGCTTTGGAAAGAACGAAGAGCATTGAAAAAATATGTATTTATGTATGAATAAGCTAGCGTGAATTAATAGCGCAATACAAGTGCGCTAATGCAAGTTTAAAAAAATAGTAAAGAGAAAAATAAATTTCTAAAAAAAATTTTAAGCCTGTGCATGATATGAATGATTTGCGTTTTATTTTTTTTCAAATTGAAAGAAAGTTAAGAACTATTTTTGTTGTTCTTTTTTTGTATGCATTTTTATGTATTCAGTAGCACACATGCAATAAACTCAAACGTGAGAAAAAATGCTCTGCTAGTGACAATACAACTGTAAATGAGATGTGAAATTAAATTATAAATTAAAACTGTAACCAAGACATTTTTGTGTATATCTGTGGGAAGTGCTTGACATCAATTTGGAAGTGATAGTGAGCTGATGTTGAGTATGGGAAATAAGGAAAATTATATTTAAAGGCAAGCAATAGTTTAGTTTGGAGTAAAATGTACTAAGGAGTGGTATTTAAGAGAAAATACCTAAAAAAAATTAGTGAGCAGGAAATAATTTTTGTAATTTAGAAATTATTCAGATAATTTAAATTTTTGTTTACAAAAAAAAAAAAAACATTTTAAGAATGTATTTTATATTGTACATGCAAGGGCTCTCCATGCAATGCGTGGTATTATGTTTAATGTTTGAAAAATGATTGCTGTCAGTTGGAATTTTTATATTAGTATAGTAAATAAAATTGACATTAACAAAATTGTAAGAGAAACGAAAGTTTTTTTTTTTAATTTTCATATGAATTATTATTCATTTTTTTTGTAATATGTAGTTTTTTTGTAAGGATATTTTTTCAGTTGGTATTTGGTCTTTTTCAATAGCGGGCAGTAAACAGTTGATAGAAAGATAGATAGTAATAGATAAAAACAAATAAAGTACAAAGAATAGAGATAAAGTGTACAAAAGTAGTGCATGATTAAAATATAAGAAATATAAAGAGTGTACAGAAGTGCGAAACACATGGAATAGAGAAATATTTAACATATAGTAGAATTATATAAACATAAAGTTTGTAGGAAATGGAAGTTATATGAATAGTAAATGGTATGAAATGAAGTAAGAAATAATTTACAAAAGTGATAGAAAGTATAGTAATAGATATAAAATAGAAAAAGAAGACAATAAGAAAAGTTGGCGTTATTAACAGTAGACAGTAGTTGGTTGAAAAATTTAATTTAAAATAGTAGTAAAAATAGTAGTAGAAATAGTAGTAGAAAGAGTGGTAGAAATAGTAGTAGACAGAGTAGCAGAAATAGTAGTAGAAAGAGTAGTACGAATAGTAGTAAAAAATAGTAGTAGAAATAGTTTTGAAATAGTAGTAGAAAACGTAGTAGAAAATACTACAAGTGTAGTAGTAGCAGATAGCACCAGAAATACAGAGGTCACATAGCAGCAGGAAATGGTAGTAAAGTGCAGTATGTAGTAGTGGTAACGGTGATGATTTAATTTCGCTTTTTCTGTTCACGTTGCACAATCAGCTGACTAGTATTATATGTAAGAATACACGATGTTATTTATATATGTGCGAATTAAATGACTTATATATATGTGCAACAGTCGTATGTGTGGCAGGTGTAGCTGTCGTCGGCGTGTCGATGTCCACACGAAATCAAACAAACAAACAAATGTGTGTATGTATACAACCATAGTTAGATGTTGGAAATAGCTTCCTCGTTTTGACCTTGGCAGTGATTTCGTGATAACAACAACAGCCACAACAAAATGATGCATGTATGTAGTATCATACATACATACATACAGATGCAACAAGCAATGTAAATGTATGAAAACATTACGCTCAAAAGTTACGTTAAATCATGAAAATAGATGAAGATTTAAATCAATTACAATGATCGAAAAATGAATCATGATGATGACGTTAAGCCAACAATCACACAGTGCAGTGGTTCAATGTGTGCATGTATGTAGGTGCGTGTGTGTGAGCCGCTCACTTCCCGATCAACTCTTTACTGCCTCAGGCACACGAATAATCGTTTTGCATTTTTGCTTTGCATTCCGCTGTTCCAAACGTCTTTCGTCCTTTTCTTTGTCGTTTAACATTTCATTACATCAATTACAAAATAAATATTTGCGATAATAAATAAATTAATATAAATTAATAATAAATTAAGTTTTTCTTGTGTTTTTTTCGCTTTTTTAGCATTTACTGTTAAGACTTCGTTGCAGTTCGTTTGCCACCAGCATGCGGTTACTCGCTGAATCATCCATCGTCCTTCCGATGCATTCCCAGGCGTTCACAGTTTAGCCACATGCTTGAGAAAATTATTTGCTTTTTGTTTATTTCTCGTTTTTTTTTGTTTGTAGTTTATAATCTGTAGGTTGTAGTTTGTAGTTTGCTTCGTTTTGTATTGTTTACATTACCCTAAGTATTTTATTTTGGCTTTTCAGCGCGCCAATATGCAAATTTAACGCAATTAGCACACGCTTCAACTTCCACCATGAATCACGCTAGCTTATCGTCTGGCTTGCTTGTAACCAGAGTAGGCAATAGTTTGCGCAACTGGTGAGCTGTAGGCACCATGTGAATCCCAACCGGAGTTACCGCCCGATGACCAACCGCCTGAACTGCCACCACCGGATGACCAACCGCCAGAACTAGCACCAGCACCGGCAGAGTTCTTGCCACCGAAGAGACCACCAAGACCGCCGAGCAGACCACCGCCGCCGCCGCCGCCCAAACGGCTGAGACCACTTGATGCACCAGCAGCCAAGGCCAAGAAGAAGGCAATGACGGACACGACGAGCGCTTTTTTGGCCAAGAAGAGCAGACCGAAGATAGCACCAACACCCAAAACAGCGATCTTAGCACCAACACCCAACAAGATGGGCAAGAATTTTTTCAACAACTTCTTCTTCTTGGTACGCGACTCAACAACCAATTCACGCAAATCGGCCTTGATGTCATCAGGTATGGCACGAGCTACGGAGCGTGCGGCATTAGCGAAGTTGAAGTTCAATGAACGTTCAGCGAAGAAGTTCTTGGCGTGATTCATGAAGTAGGTGCCCATTTCACTGGTGCGTGCCTCAACGCTGGGTGCAGCCTCAACGGCGACGGCATTGTCATCGAGTGATTTACCCTGGCGCCCTTCGTTGGATTTGATCAGTGAGACGCCGCCGAAAATTTCGATTTGTGGATTTTCAAAGAACGATTTCGCTTTACGGAAGAGCTGTGCGGGCGAGAGTGGAAACAAAAGGGAAAAGTTAAAAATTAAATGACTTATTTATTATTTAAGAAAAGAAAATTTTAAAATATGAAATTGTAAAATGTTACTCTTTAAAGATTTTTTTGTGCATATCTGTTAACGGTTTTTTTTTAATTAATGCAATTTTTATTTCATTAAGAAAAATAATTAAGTTTGTGCTCTTTAATAAAAAACAAAAAAAGACTTTTTTTTCAAATTAAATTGCGGGTAAATATGAATTGAAAATTAGTTTTTTATGTTAAGATGAAAATAAATATTTGCGTGTCAACAATAATTTTTTCGATCAAAAGGCACTAATTCAAGCGGAAAATTAGTTAAAGAATTATTTAGAATTATATATATTTCATTTAATAATTTGCTCTGTTTGTGCCTAGAAATAATTAAAAAAAATAAAATACTTTTCGCTAATAATTTTTTTAGGCTTTTTCTAGCTCTTTAAAATTCTTTGTACCATTTTTTTAATAATAACTTTTTTTCCAAAAAAAAAATATATATATATTTTTAGCGAATTGGAGTAAGCAATTAAAAGATAAAACCGCAGATTTTAAATATAATTATTTAAAAAAAAAATTTTATGTGTACAATTTTTAGAGAATTAGTTAAAGAGTGCCTGGTATGCATTTAAATGTATATAAAAGTTTGCTATATACAATAATTTATTAAAAATTCAGTTCGGAAAAAATTTAAAAAGGAAAAAAAAAATATTAAAATATTATTAAATGTCAATATTAAATAATTCTATTATAAAAAAAATATTTTTAAAAAAGGAAACTAAAGAAATAATTTAATTTAAAATGTTTAAAAATAAAAAATTTAAATTCATTTATCTAGTTTATAAAATCATAACAATTTTTTTTGTATATTTTTTTGTTTAATTTTCGACATTCTTGAAAAATCGATTGTTCTTGACGCTTGCCCATATTTCGCTCAAAATAGTTTTATTCATTTTGTCGAACATAAAAGGAAGAATTTGTGTAATAAATATTTAATAGATTTTAATAGTTTTTGATTGATGCATCACAAAATATGAGTGAAATGTATGTGTCTTATGCACTTAAATATTTTAGAAAAAATTAAAATATTTTTGAACTGCGCTATAAACCACTTTGCACTGCATTTCTGTATATATTTCTCTTTTTATGTATTTTACTTTGCAAGGTGTGTGAGTTCATTTTCCAAATATGCACTTTTCAAATGTCACTTTTATATTTAAATGTTCTTCAATGCATTTATTTTTAATTTCATAATTGGCATTTGCTTGTCAATGCTCTTTTTTTATAATTTTTATAGTTTTTGTTTATATATTTTTAAACACTTCGTACCGTCAATTGCAGGCACGAGATGGAATCAGCTTCCAAGCACTTATTAAAACCACTAGCCGGTGTGACGACATTATTATCCTTAATGGGATCAGCGAAGGCGCCAGCAGACAGCAGCAGGATACAGGTTGCAGTGAGATATAAATTCATGTTGTTTTTGTTTTGTTTGTATAGGTATTTATATATATTTTTTGTTCGAAATTTTACTTCACCACCGTTTGCACTGTGTGTTTATTCGAATGGAACAACTTGCGGTTTGATAATTTTTCGACGATGTCAGTCTGTTTTTAAACAGTTCCAAACAATCATCAAAAATCTGAAAATTATGCAAAAACCAAATACAACTACACAGTGGCAGTGAAGATAGCGTCGAACAGCGACAGTGACAGTGACAGCGGAGGCGAGAGACGTTGACCGAGACCGAGACCGAGATGAGCACTAGGTTTAACAGTGTAGCGCGCTGGCAGTTGGCCAATAGTGTGATTTAACAACAACATAACATGCAACATAACGTCAACTTGACGTACATGAGTATGTCTGTATGCGTGTATGCATATAACAAGCAAGGCGTCAACAGCGCGAAAGCGAGCAAAAGCCCTCTGCGGACGACACTCTCCCGCTTTAGTAACGAAGCTAACGGCAAACCTTTCGGTGCTGCGTTGTTACGTACAGCCAACAGCACAGTGTATACCGGCGCCCGAGCTCGTGCTCTCAGCGCTGCAAGAATTGCGCTAAAGAAGTTATTGAGTAACCACTTCATTTGTGACCGTCTGTGCGCAATTGCTCAGTGCTCTAAGCGTTCGTGTGGTAAGCTTCCGCCTGCGTGTAGGGCAGTGGGTGTGTGCGTGCATATGCGCATGCGCAGGCTAGCTAAAAGAAAGCATGTGAGAGAGAGGGAGAGTGTTTGAGTGGCTGGTTGGTTTGAGACATGGCGACATCACTAGTGTCGTTAATGTTAAAGGTATTGAATTCTACGGCTGCCCAGTGTGTCGCTCTCCTATGCTCAGCACTGCTCAATGTTCTCTCTTATTCCCACTTTGGTCATCTTCATTTCATTAACCCAAAGCCTTCTGTAAGTTCGAGTAATTTAAGCTGTACAATAGCGTGATGAGCGCGGCATTGGGCACAGCTTCCCAAATACCAAGAGTTGATTTGCATCTGTTTACATTAATATTTATTTAACACTAATACACACATGCATACTCGTACACCTCTACACATTCATTGATTCAGATGTTAAACAGGTGATGCCCATATTTCGCTGCTGCTGTAACCGCTGACGTCGGTCTAGTTGGCTGATGCTGTAGCTCTGTGTGCTCTCCCTCATCTCAACGCCAACACACTTATTGTTGTTTCTCGTTCATTGTTATATACATATGTGTGTTACTTTTATTGTTGTTATTATTGACTTTTTTCGATCTTCATCTTTTGTGTATTGAAATTTAGCGCGCTTCAAGAAAAGAAAGTTTTATAAGTTGTTCAAGTATGCAGTTTGTATAGTGACCTCGACAGCCCTCCTTCATCGTTGCCAGCGCCCGTTTCACACACACACACACGCACACGCTCACGTAGATTCCGGATGATGTAAAGCAAAACAATACTTGCCCAGTTTTAATTTCTTGTTTTCACCTTCCGTTGTTTGTCTGCCGCCTGTACGCCGTTCGCTGATGGGTTGGCCTGGTCGCTTGGTTTATAGCCGTTATAAATTTTTACGTCTTGCATATTATTATTATATAACAACAAATACTACGAGAGGAAGTTGTGTAATATAAATATCTGTTCCTATGTATGTAAACATTTTGTGTTATATACATGTATGTATATGTATGTGCATATGCTTTAATGCATTAAAAATTATGTACAATCAAATCGGAACATTTTTTTCGGAAAAAAAACGAAAATAAAAATGTGAATTGTCTCTTTATAATTTTAACTAGAGTAAAAATATTATATGTTTAACACATAACATTTGCATTACTCACTCATGACTATCATTACAAAGTACTTTAACTTGTACAATATGTAAGCAATCCAGTTTTGACGCACATGGATGTAATTAAAAATTTGAATTTTATTTTCACACATGCGACCGAGTATTCTTCATTAGGGTGCACGTTAGTCTTCATGTCTCAAGGTATAGTGTGAAAATATTTTTTTTATATATCCCGGACAGAGCAACTGGCCATTCGAACTATCAGAGTATACATTATTTATTTATGTGAATTACCTGCAAAAAGCCTCAAGCTCATTTTAAACAGATTTTAAGAGATTTCGGGTAATCACAATTTTTAAAAAATCGATTTGGCCACATCAGAAGTAAGCTCATGGCATAATTTACAATAGGAAAACCATCAGATTAAAGAAAAAAATTTCTTCATCTCTTTCTACTTTTGTTCTTTTAAAAGTACTCGCCTTTAATGCATTTGTCCTTTTTTTATTTCTCCACATAATCGCCAATGCGTTTCTTAAGCCTATAGATTAACTTATGAAAACAGTCTACAAAACCTTGCTTTTTAAGCTTATCAAGTTGAGCATTAACCGCATTAATTATCTTCTCTTTGCTATTAAAGATCTTTCCTTTTAGTATTTTTTTTAATATTCTAAATTAACCATAAAGCACAAGGTGCCATATCTGGGAAATGTGGCAATAGACGCAGTTCTTCAAACCCAGAGATCGCAAAAAAATTACTCGTTATTTCAGCAGTGTGGGATGGTGCGTCTTCATGATGTAAAAAGTAGCGCCGCAAATCTTCTTTTTTTCTGTTTCTCAACTATTTTTTTAGAACTTTTGGTAATCACTCTTCGTTGTACTACTTTGCAGTTGCCGTCTGACCTTTTTCCAGTGGAATAACGATTTTAGATCGGATGAAGTAAACTGATATCATTACTTTTGATGACGATTTTTGTTGCTTAGATTTTACGAGTGGGCTTGTTCCTGTTTGGCTCCATACCATGGACTGCTGTTTGGTTTCTGGATCGTACTTATAAAATCAGGATTCCTTACCATTAACGACTTTACTAATGTTGCTAGACTGACCATTTTCAAATTTGTTTAGAAAAAAATGAGCAAAATGCACTCGAACTTCTTTTTGGGCCTCGCTTAAAATTCGTGGTACCCAACGAGCAGATTTCTTCGTGTGTCCCAGATGATTACTCATGGCATTCCAGCTCAATTCATTAGAAATCATTTCTTCTTCAACAGAGCTACTGCGACATCATCAGTGGAAGATTTTAGTCGACCTTCTCGGCGCTCGTCCTGTACTTAAAAATTACTGATCTGAAATATTCGATACCACATAGAAATAGTCCTTAAAGATGGTTCAATTGTTTCATATGCAATTTGGCATTCACTGAATATTTGTTTTAGCTGTAAATTACGCCGTAACCCGAAGAGAATCACATGGCATGGAGAATTTCTGTATATCCGAATATCCGAACTCTTTCTATACATCCCTAAGCTCTTTGAGTGAATCGGCGCAAAATACCGTCCATTTGGGGACTTTTTTATCTTTGAAAGTAGGAAAAAGCGGCAGTGAATCAAATCTGTGTTGTTTTTTGACTTAAAACCATAATTAAACAATCACGAGTTATTGTGCTGTGAATTTAATAAATTGGTTCTCTAGATTTAAAGCCTCTTTTGTATTTCTCTATGAAAAGGGCGCATCACTAAACTGTACGAACAGGTGATAAGAATTATTGATGAGTAACGTCATAATAGATATTCACAACTTTCGGTCAAATATATTCCTTGGGTCTTCCATTTGCGACGGTTGGTTGTAGTTCCAGTGTCATAACTAAAGACCATTATTTGCCACCAGTCATGAACTTTAATAAAAAAACGGAATCTCTGTTGATAATCATGTGACATATTTTTGTTAAAATGAACTTCGGTAACATTTACCCACTGCCAGTCATTACGGCGATATCCTCGGAGACTTTACGGACAGTAATTCGACGATACTCCATAAAAATTATATTAATAATATCGGACTCTCAAATTGATGGACTTCTTAACAGTAACCTGCCGTGCCCAAAAAAATAAGGCAGCCACCCTAATTTTGATGTACACACATACAATTCGAAAAACTGTAAGTAGCTACTGTATTGTTGGGCATTGTTTGATAAAGAAATAAAAAATTAAAATCTGGCTGCACGTGTCTAATGTGGCTAGTTAAGAAAGGAAAACTTGTTAAATGCATTTTTTTGAAATTAATGCAGCTAATTTTTATCTAGGTTAAAATTTTAATTAGCAGTAACTAGTTATTATTTAATAATTTGTATGATTCCATACTCGCACTATAAATATAATATAATTTCATTTACGATAATTGTTTTCAGTAGCTGCATTATTTTCAACAGGCACCGTTAAGGTCCATCATTTGTGCATTAAATTGAAGGCTTTCATTACCATAGTTAGAGTTCTCCGATTTACGTTATATATTTGGCATTTTGCAATTTTGGACGTAACGTCATTAAGCCTATCTTATGAAAACTCTTCTTCCTATTGGCAAAAAGTGGGACTAACGAGTTTAACAAGACATCCAGGCCAATTCCTTAATAGAGAGGAACAGATGGTAAACACTTACATGGTACGAGGTTCGGACTTTAAGCTGAATGCTACGATCCTCCCAACTAAGTTCTCTGACCTTCTGGCGAGTCATTAGAGATGTGGGCACTTCTGGGCGCTTGCTCCCCTCAGACGGTCCAATCGCTGTTAGAACAGGCCAGAGTTTGGCAGTAGGGAAGCCGATCCTAGTGAATGATTACTAGTCAAACACACAACAAAACCGTAAATCCTGGCTTGGAGACTGTTTATGCCGACACACTACTCTACGACCGCGATCGTTTTCACTTGATGGTGATGCACTTGTCCTCACTAGTCACCACAGAAACTATTTATCTCTTTTGAGCTGTTTGAAGTGTGCTCCCGCCTTAATCGAGGAACAATTGTAGAATTTAACGTATTTTCTCTTTGCTGATGTTCATTTTTGACATGCGCTCAGACACTACCGAGTCGAGAGTCAATACTTTTCGAGTTAGCTTTGGTACATAATATGGCATGTTTAACACCATTTTAAATTAAAAATAAGAGTAATGGGATTTTTTTAAATAAAGTTTAACTATTTTAAGTAGATTTAAAAGTTTTAAATCATTTTTAATCAAAAGTTGGCAAAAAAGTTTAAGCTAAATGGCAGATTAGAATTTTTCCTACTAAAACCTTCAGAAAATTTCAGTGCGATCAC